TTTTTTTTTTTTTCTGTCCTCTGGAAATGATGAAAGGATCACATGAGGAGCAGGCACGGCGACCCAGGACCCTCGGAAGTCGGAGAAGGCATCGGGCACATATATGTGAGTATGTGTGTGAGTGTATGTGTCTGGCTCTCTCCAAGTCCTGAGCCTGCCTCCAGCCGGGATTGCAGGCTGATCTTAGCAGTAATGATGCCTCAGATCTCACTATTCCCTGCTAATGTAAGTCGTGCCTTTTTTTCCTCCCCGCCTGACACCCCAGGGAGATGTTTACAGTAATGAATTCAGTTGATAGCCATCTCTCTCTCTCTCCTGGAGTCCCTCCCACATTTCTAGTTTAAAGAATGCTTGGAAGGCAGGACTGCAACCTAAAGCTTTCCAAGAGGCAAAGTCAGGCTAGATTTTCTCTTTTTCTTCCTTATTTCCTCCCCCCCCCTTCCCCCTTGTCCCCCGTCCGCTTTTAACCCTTGCTTGCTGAGGACAGTTTAGCGAGCTCCATCCCTTTGGACTCGCCCTCCCCCTCTGCTTTCAGCGAGAACTAAGCGGGTGGCTCTGCCAGAGGGTGTGTGTGGGCTGCGCAGACCCCCGACCCCCGCCCCGCCTCACCGCCGGGCCGGCGCTGCGGGAGAGGGAGGTGCGGGTATCGCCGCCCTTCGCGGTGGGACTGCCCCGGCACCGCCGCTCCGGGGACTCTCAGGGTGTATCGGAAGGGCAACCGGGAAGTCAGCTGAAAAACTCCCCGAGCTGCGGTCCTGGGAGATGCCCTCGCTAGCAGTAATTACAGCCGTGCTCTCCACCAACATGGCGATATTTCACGTGGAGCCGCCGACAAGCCCGCCTCCTCCACCCCCTTCTTTCCCTCTCCTTCCTCCCTCGCTTGCAAACTTTTAGGTAGGCAGTAGCAGTGCGCAACAAATATAACACATAATAAAAGAATCTCCAACCCTCAGGGAAGAGACGGACCTCCTTTAATATTCTGATTTCCATCATCAGTCAGAAAGACTTAAAAACCGCTGGAGAAACCGCCTTTTGCCCTAAAGCGGGAACAACTCCCCCACCACCACCTTCCCCGCCCCCGTCCATGTTTCCAAGTCACATTCAGTGTGTGTCCGTACGAGTCTGTGTGTGTTAGCGCATCCCGGGCTGTCTGCCCGTGTGTCGGGGTAACCCGTCCCCCGCCGCCCAGCTCTCTAGTAGGCTACTGCTGTGTCCTGACAAGTCCACTTAAAGGCAGGACTATTTAATACCGAGGAACACTTGAACGATAGGATACAACCGGCAAGGTAGGACGTGGGATGTGCGAAGAGAATTTTCCTCAAACTCCTCTGTTAGTAAAAAAACATTCACAATACGGCTTTTGCTGCGAGTTACTTTAAGAGACAGGTTGGGGAGGGATGGAGGAGAGAGAGCTGATCAATGCCATGTGTCGAGGAAACAGAAATGGCAACCGAAATGCCTCGGGGTTTGCTTCCCCCTCAGCCCTGGCTGCTCAGTATTTGCTCAGCCATACCTCAAAAGCTGAATCACTCGCCATTAGCTCCGTGCCTCCTTCACCCTTCGCTTGGGGGGGCTAAACTACTCACGACTTCAAAGGCTCGATAAAGCCGTAGCGAGGAGTCAGCCGCAGCACCCTGGCGAGGGTCAGGCCGGCTCTGCTCCTAAACCACCGCACCCGCCCTGGCCTCCTCCCCCTGCCCTCCAAGAGGGCTTCGGAGTGCCCCGCCTATGGATAGCCCGCAGCCAAGCTGAGCAGCTGCCTGCCCGCTCGCTAAGGGAGTTGCGTCCTCACCTACGCAGATTGATGGAGGGGGGAGGGGGGAGGGGGGTGGCGGGAAGGGGGCGGGGGGCCGGCGGACGAGGAAGGAGGAGCTCAGGTAGCCCGACGTTCCTTTGGAGACTCAGCGAGAAGAAAGGAGTTGAGGACGAGACCCCCCTCCCGTCCTGGTGGCCGGGGTCTGCTCTACGCCCCCGGGACGGAGGTGAGGCAGCCGGGGGCCCTCCGCGGGTCTTAACCGACCGGGAAGAAGCGAGTCTGGCACGGGTCAGGCCCGCGGAGAGAGCGTGCATCCCTGGATTGGAGTAGGGGCTGTCCTGTAGTCGAGTCTGCCCGTACCTCCCAGCAAGTCCCGAGAGATGAAAGGATCAGGAACCCCACAGAGTCCAAAGGCAAATGAATACCCTTTTTCAAAGACTGTTCTAGGTCTTTTTTGACTTTTTAAGATCTGTTTTTTCTTTCGTTCTTTAAGTCTCTGCATACTTTTCAGTGCATTTTTCCAGTAAAAAAAAACCCGTATTTCTTATCCTCAGTCCACCCTTCCCACCATGCTCCCCATATTTAGTAGTCTGTCGCCAACGTATAATGCAGAGCAGACCACTGTCGGTTGCAGGTGTTTCTGCCCTCTGTGCCCCCAGTCACGGAGGAAAGCGAGAATGTTAAAAAGTTCTGCAAGGCTGTAGGAAGTTTCCTTGCCCCACAGTCTCAGAGGGATTAAACAGAATTATTGCTGTTCCTCTCCCTGCCCCTGGACCCTCAGCCAGTCCACACCTCAAGTCAATGAATGATACTCGGGTCCCTTTTTCGTCAAATCAAGATCATTGATTTGTCAATCAGGAAAATTACTTAATCGGTTATTACCTGCTCCTGTGGAGATGGGTCCTCCTTGGTAGGTCACCCAAAGCCCACCGGGTCAGGCAGGTTGAAAGGGGAGAAAGTGGCAGAACAGCTGGGCTGCGGCATGGTACTAGTTCTAAGGTTCACCACCGAGGTCTCTGTTTTCCATAGCTGTCACTGATCACCATCACCAAAGGTTTCTCTCAAAGAAAGGAGAAAGGAAATTTTCTTCCCAAGCTGCTCTCCAGCCGGTCATTTGACCCTGACACCCACCGATGACACTGAAGAACACCCCGCTGAAGAGGCTAAACGCCTCGTAATTTCCTCTTTTCTTCCCCCGATGGCCCCGGCGCACCGCCGCAGAGCGATCTTATCGCCGTGCGATCATTATTCACCGGTGACAACCAGAGATGCAGCGCTCGTAAGTGAGGGTGACAGATTTCAAACGCGGAGCTGCAGCGTACTCAGCCTCAAACATATTCTTCCTCAAACTTTGCCTAGCAAGCAATCAGCGGCTTAACCCTTTGCAGCCCTTTCTCTCCTCCGGGCACGGAGCCCTCAGCACGGGGAGGGAGTGCTGGTTTGAGGGAAGGACAGGACAACACGGCTGCTTGGCTTGGGACTCTGTTACGTGCCATTTTCTATTCTTGGTTATTTTCACTTAAATCAAAACAGCCAGCTCTGGGGAGCAGATGGAGAGCTGGATACTTCTCTGTGATTAGGGGCTGGAAAAATCCTCTCTACAAAGCAGATCGCTGGGGATTCACCTGCGGTCCCTCTTTGTCACGGAGTCTGGTATGCAAATTGTCATATGCATGGCATGAATCCCTCTCATAAATGCATATACAGAGCTTCTGCACTTTCCTCAGCGTGTTGTGAGAAAAAGTACGGTTCTGAAAGTGCTATTTCACTCAAACCTCCAGATTTAGCTCCTTTAGAGGTTATTAACTACAACGGGGACAGGAGCGAGTGAGAACAGCATTTCCGTAAGAGAAAGAAAAAAAAAAAAAGCTTTTTTCACATATGCACTTTGTAGTCAAGGGAAATATTTACCACCACCATCTCCAGCATGTCAGAACATGTTTCCTCCAAAGCACAAGAAAGCCTTAAAACTGAGAGAAAAGCGTGTGCAATTCAAAGATGAAATGAAGTGCATGAAAGCTTTTCAAAGTCAGTACCACTAGCCCAGAGCCTAATGTCAAGACAATGCAGTAGCACTTGTAATACGAAGATGTAGAGAGGGAAACAAGATTAGTAAACTCCACAGGTTTTCTAATATTAATTTAAATATATTTTCAGTGCTTTATGATGTGTCTGTCACCTTCTCTGCCACCCTCCCACCACCAAAAAAACCCCAAAAAGTGGGGACACGACCTCTAACTGCAGCTGAACGCCACTGAGAGCCCATCCGTGGGCTGGCCTGCCGCGAGTTCCTTCCAGAGCCCTGGTGGTCACACAGTTGGAAGGACACAGAGGCAGGTAGGTGCGTATGAAGGGGAATTTGAGTGCTCTTTTCATTAAATGTGTAAGATAAGGGTGAACAAGGGAGGAGAAGAACCCTACAGTAAGCAAAAAGGACAGAAAAAAAAAATGATTCTCCTCCTACCCACATTCCTAAGCTCCGATTTTAAGCACAGCAGGCAAATAAATTTCCCTCGAAGAATAACTCTCAGCCCCGCTCAAAAAACAAACAAACAAGCAAACAAACAAACCCATAAAACCAAACCCCAGATCATTTAGACATCGCATGTATCCTTGTCCTGACTGTACGAGCGTGTGACGCGAGTGGGGAGCTTGACTAGTCCTGGCCGAGTGTGGTTCCGCGGGCAGGAGGAGAAGCGTTGCCGCAGGTGCGCAGCGAGAGCTCCGCGGGTGCGGAGCGGGGCCGCCTGCACGTCCCACAGCGCGGCCAAGGTGGCAGCAGAGCACAGCGGGAGGATGCTCGGCGGCCGGCCAGCGGTGGGAAGCTTCCCCCGTCCTCTCGTTCCAGCAGTCTCTATTTAAACTGATGCACACTCCTTGCACACGCTCCCCCACCCTCCGTTAATCTTGTAGTCTGATTACTTCGACTTCAAACAATTTCAACACCACACCACACACCCCCGCCGTGTCAGGCATATATTTATTTGCTAGCAAACTGCTTTGCGTGGTAAAAAGGCTGTAAACTGAAAGGAGAATATAGAAATATGCTCTCTGTAAATTACCTGTGATCATACAAGATGGCCAGCCCGGAGTGATGGTCCACTGATCTGTAATACGACCTCACTTATTTTAAAGAGAATGTGAAATGGGATAACATTAAAATATATTAAAAAAATAGAAGTGTCTTTTCCATTTTTTTTTTTCTCCCAGCTATATTGTTAGAATGATTTCTGCAGCTTGTAAGAGAGAGGGTAAAAGGAGATGGAAATAATGCTATAAATGGAAGGCTGGTCTAAATCATACTGAATAATCTCAATTTTTGTCAGTAATGTAAAATTTTGCTTCAGGCCTTAAGTTATGCAGCTGACAAGGAAAAAAATCACTACATACATTCTTCATCAAATTTTGTAAAATCAGCTTCTTAGAAAAAGGTTTTGAGGAAGGAAAGGGAAGGGGAAGGGAAAAGGGAAGAAAAGGAATGCAAGGGGACAGAGAGGGAAGGGGGAGGG